CACTGCGGGCAGGGCCGGGCGTGACGCAACGGAAGCGCGACGCGGGCGCGGGGGAGCCGGATGCTCCTCCCCTCGCTGGTGGAGTTGGGGGGAAGAACTCCCGCCGGGTGACCAAAGACGTCCACTTTTCGCTCTTTTTTATTTCAACCGAAACGACACCGTCACTGTGTGTGAGCACGGCGGCGCACTCCCTCGGGAGCGCCTCTAGCGTGACGCACGCGCACAACGCCCGTGTTTCGCTGGGAGGGGAACCGCTCACTCGGCGCATGCGCATAACGCCCCTTGCTTCCCTCGGGAGCACCGCTGGCTTGACGCATGTGCACAACGCCCAGTGCTTCCCAGGCATAACGCCTGCTGCTTCTCGGGGGCCAGCGCTGGTTTGGCGCATGCGCATAACGCCCCTGCCTGCCCGCTTGCCTGCCACCCACCTAGCGGCCTCGGACCCTTCAACTGCCCCCCATCTTTGGCGACAAGTTTCAAGCTGGGGGCTTCACGTTCCCTCCCCTGGAGCTGCCAGCGGGGTCCTTTCCCCAGTGGGGGTGCAGGGAGAGACTGCCGGGGTGGGAGGGGAACGTGGGTGTGTGCGAGTGAGCATGTGCCTCTCTGTGCCTGTCTGTCAGTGGGTCATGTGTATGTGTGCCTGTCTGTTTCTGTGTGCCTGTGTGTATGCGTGTGCGCGCATGTCCATGTACAGAGAGTGCACACGCCTGTGCGCGCGCACATTGGGCCATAGCGCAGGTGGGGAGCAGGGAGAAGAGGTGGGTATGTGCCCCCCAGCCCAGCAGGGTCCACCCAGCCTGCCCTGCCACCAGGACCTTAAAGCCCAGCTCCCATGGGGGAGGAGGCCTCCGATTTTGTGCTTGCCTAGCGCCCCAGCGCACCTTAATCCCCCTCTGGAGGGGTGGGGAGGCAGGCGTGTTACACAAATTGCCGATTGCTCAAATCACGAGACGAGATAAGGCAAGATGCCGAGTTTATTGATTGAGCGCTTAATACACACACACACACACTAACCCAATTTCTGTTCTGCAGTGGTATACGTTACTGGTCTTATCGGTGCTCGGATCAACTTAGTGGCCAGCCGTTTGATCCCGAGTGCAAACCGGGCTCCTGCCGGTCCACCTCGTCGGATGAACCGATGCTCCAGGATGACATGCAGAACAAGGCCCAGAATCAATACGTCTCGCCCTATCTTTTATAGCCTTGTCAATTCACCCAGTCCTCTGGGCTCTTGCTGTGTTGTCGCTGTGTTCTTCCTTGAAGGTTGATTGCCGTTGTGATCTTGCTGTTTGGGGGCGGATTCTTCTTGCTTGGTCTTTCATCTCTCTGCCTTCTTCAGCTAGTTGCCAGCTGATGTTTTCCTTTTCCACAGACACACTCTGAGCCATTCAGCATACACAGGTCGAAAACTTATGTCAAGCTACAGAGCAATACAAAATGGAGTTTCTTAAGGCAATGCAAAACTCAAGAAAATACATACGATTAAAAGCAATAGGCAAAAAGTCTTGATGGCTGAAGACTGCAAGCAACGACCCCCTTGAAGATTGCAGACCACAAAGCCAGAAGATCATGTCCTAACAATTCCAGCCTGCCAACAGGACAAGGAGGATGACCTTTGTGTCTGACTCAACTGAATCCATAGGCTGGTATGGACTACGATCACTATAAAGAATGAACACAAAGACAAAGCTTTGGGTCTCTTCCACCTGCAAGAAGGAGTTTTGGGCACATCCAACAAGACCTGACTCCATCGCTCGGCTCAGCCTGGCTGGCCACCAGACTGACCTGAGCAGCTTCAGCACTTGGTAACACCTTTATTGAGCACGGTTTTGCAGTGATGTGTTAATGCACATTAAAGTAGGCTAAAGTGCATTAAAGCACGTTAATGTGCATTTTACCTCAAGCACGTCCCATTAATCGATGTTTCGGCTCGTTGAAGTCTCTCCACTTGGGGAGTAACTTTGCGCTCGACCAATCCTGAATGCTGATTTTGGATGGAGAGGAGGGAAGAGGAGCTCTGATGTCTTGCAAGTGATGGGTCACTCGGGACAATTTACCAGCCAAGGGTTCGGTATCCCTAGCCTTCAGCACACCTATGCTGGCTTTCCCTCCTCCTAATACAGTTGAGAGACTGCATGTCACCGCCTTCTGCAAAAATCACCTGGGGGACAGCTCAGGATAGAGACACCCATGAGCAGCACGGAGACGTGGGCTATCAGATATTTTCCTAGTAAACGTAGTAGTTCTCCCAAATGCGTTTACTGCAGGTCCCATCTGCATAAAGACTAGACGAGAGCGAACGCTAATCGTAGCACAAAGAAGAAGAGTGGAGCTGCCATGGATCATGCCCATATCGCGTTACTAATAAGCGCAGATCCTTTCTAAACCCATCCAATGAAGGGTGATCTGGTTGGATCTGTAAACCTCAACCATCCTGAAGATGCATACAGCGGCGCATGCTCCGGTTGCCGTCCATCCTGAACAGCAAATGTTCAATGTTAGAGCAGCAATGCCGGGCCTTGTGTCTTGCAAGCAGCTCATGGTCTTGAGGTTGCTCGCGTGATGTTGCTTTCCTTTGTCTATCACTGCGAGAAGGTTTTCTAACACAACGTAGCAATAGGTTTGTTACTAGCTCAATTTAAGTGAACTTGGCGCTAATCGGCTGAATCAGAGGGATGAAATGATTGGATCTGTTAATGAAAGGTGATAAAGGAGACCAATGGACAATGCTTAAAGTAAGACAACGGAAAAAAGGCCAAATTAAGAGGTGTGCTCATAATGGGGATGTGGAACAAAGGGCTGTGCTGACAGGATGAAATATGGACAATAAGCCGACTGCAGAGAGATGATCCAAAAGCAAGGAGTTGTCAAAGGAGTCAAGTTAAAAGCATGAAAGGGGGAAGCAAGAAAGTTAAGTGTGTCGTCGTCATCATTTTCATCATGAACCCAGCTTTCAACACCTGTCTGGATCATCCCGACCAACGACGCCCCCTTTGCTCCAGGAACCGAGTGGCCGTCTTTTGTGTGAGGGTCCCTTATTTCATCCCTCAGAGCATGCCCCCCGCCCTCTGCCCCCTCTCTCAGCCTGGGCCCTCTGCCCCATGCCCTTGTAACCCAGCACTGGGACTAATGACAAAACATTAGTCCCTTTTCAGCGGGGTACTTTATTGCTAAGGGTACTGGGGTTTTACACTTATTAGAGACCATTAGCTTATTAGGAGTTGTGTTACCTTACCACATACGCACACGTGCATACATTCTCGCAGGTGACACACACACGACCCCAAGGGCGCTGTAGATAGGGATGGCCGGTCCCTATCCATTGATGGAGTGGGGCATCTGACCTGGAAGCATTTCTAGATGCTTCTTCAGGCATGAAGTGCTTGGTCGGCACTTCACAAGTGCCCCCTCATCTCACCAGTTGGAGCTGGTTTGAAGCTGGTTCCTCTTTATCGAGGATATTGTGCGGCCAGCTGAAAGAGTCGGCTTTCAGAACTGTCTTATCTTCGGTTACAAAAGCAACCACGGTCTTCTGTCGTCTTCATGCCACCTGCTGCTTCTTCGGTAGTCACATGCACCACATTTGCACACTTCATGATATGCTGAACCTTATACAATGGATGTCATGCTCTATGTGTCCCATATCGACCCAGGCTCAATTTGATATTGAGGTCGATACTCGTATCCCACACACGCCTGCGCCATTGCAAGTCCAATCCAGAAAATAAACCCCTCCTAGATCTTCATGTTTCTCTACAATATAAGCAACAACACA